CTCGGCCAGGTTAAGTTCGCCGGCCGGCACTGAAGATGGCTGACCGGCCATCCCTTCCTGTAGAATGCTATTTTTGCTGCAGCAGAGGACAGACAGTGCATGGCAGGGTGTTTACAAGACAATGTGTGCACGACCACCCTCCCTATAGCGATCCCGGGTTTGTCCCCTTTATGTACAATGTTCCGGACTTAGGTTCCGTGGAATTGGTGGTTGTATGTCTTGTTGTCATCCTTTAATTCCATATGTCTGAGCTTTAGGATGTGTTGAGCGTGTTTCGAATAGGTGGGTTGAGCCTCAGTTCAAATTCTTGTTGCCTAGCTTTGAGTGGTCTGCTCGAGCGGGTCCTTGTGCGCTCGAGCGGAGATTCCATACTTCCAGCATTTCGTGCCTCTGCAAAAGTACTGCAGGCTTGTTTTTCACGCTCAAGCGAGTTTCCCTACGCTCGAGCGGGTCGAGCTTGAGCGGGCCCTTTTGGCGCTCGAGCGGGTGTTCACTGTCTGAGAAAATACTGGGAGGGGAGAATCTACGCTCGAGCGGACTGGTTTTCGCAAAAGTACTGCAGGCTTGTTTTTCACGCTCAAGCGAGTTTCCCTACGCTCGAGCGGGTCGAGCTTGAGCGGGCCCTTTTGGCGCTCGAGCGGGTGTTCACTGTCTGAGAAAATACTGGGAGGGGAGAATCTACGCTCGAGCGGACTGGTTTTCGCGCTCGAGCGGATGTACTTTATTCTTGTGTCTTGGAGCTCGAGCGGGCCTTCTTGCGCTCGAGCGGGTCCAATTTTTGTGCTTAACGCTCGAGCATTCTATTATCCGCTCAAGCGGGTCATGCATATATCAGTTGACAGCTAGGCTATTTTGAATCACTTTTCAACTTCCACTCTCTCTCTTACTTTTTCGAAAAGCCATTGTTGAAAGCTTCTCTCACTACTTTCTCCCTTCTCTCTTAGGATTGATCTAGTTAGAGTGTTCTCCTACCCTTTGGCCTTTACAAAAAATGTGGTGATCGTCGAGGGCTACGTTTTGATCCGAAAAGTTTGGAGTTTGGAGCACTTTGAGTTTGGTCCTCTCCTCCGTTTGAGCTCTAACTTCGAGGTAGGGATATCCTACTCCATCTTATGAGCTTTGTCTTTAAATTTTGGCATTTTGATATGTTGGGGGTTGTTGGGTAATTTTGAGAAGGTTTTGGGGCCTTTATGTAATTTTCAAAAGATAGGGTTTCAAACATATAAACCTTTATGTATGTACTACATTGGAAGATGGACTTGGTGTTGGATTATTGATGAAAAATGGAACCTTAGAGTTGGTATTGTAAATATGGGAAAAAGCCCTAACTGTTTTGACAAATTAATTTGTATAATTAATTTAGGAAAATGAGAAATTGAATAGGAAATATTCAAATTGGGAAGGTACGGGATCAAAGGGCGTTGTTGGATTAATTTATTGCTCACCTAGATAAAATGTTGATACTTTATCCATTTGGTGCATTTATTTTCTGTTTAGAAATAACTGTTTTGGGCTATTGGTGGAGGATAGTCTTGATTGTTGTAGACAATGCATGATGATTAGGCAAACTATAACTAATCAATTGGGTATGTTATCGAATGCGGCGGTTGGTATAATACATCAAATTTTGTATTGATTGATTGAACTTGTATATGATAATTGTTTATATACATTGCATTGTGTGGGAGGAGATGGGGGATGTACTCCACGGTTTATTGGAAGATGGGGGATGGACCTCTAAACCGGATTTGTTTGAGATTGATACAGTACTACAATGTGTATCATTTGTGAATTATAGAAGTGTTTTGTTTGACATCGATGTAGCACTAAAATGTGTATCACTTGTCTTGATTGATTAAATTTGTATATGATAATTGCTTATATACATTGCATTGTGTGGGAGGAGATAGGGGATGTACTCCACGGTTTATTGGAAGATGGGGGATGGACCTCTAAACCGGATTTGTTTGAGATTGATACAACACTACAATGTGTATCATTTGTGAAATATAGAAGTGTTTGTATGATTTGATATAGCACTAAAATGTATATCATTATCATTTGTGAAGTATGAAAGTGGTTTTATGTATTATTGATACAGCACCAAAATGTGTATCCATAATGAATTTTGAAAGTATTTTAGTGATGAGTTATAATCTCATTAAATTATTTGGCCAGACTCTGAGCCTTGTTTTCAAACTTGATGACGAATAAGGAATGGAAGGTGAAATATAGCATAGGCATGATTGTCATGAAACTGTAATATGACATAAGTTGGAATATAAGTGTGGACCATCTATTAAATGTTATTATTTTAGTCATTGTTTATAGTTGGTTTAGTATATTTCTCCTGGGCTGTGGCTCACCCTACATGGGACTTCATTTTCAAGTACCGACGGTATGCCACCTCCAAGAACATAGCTTGGGAGGCTAGAGACAGACAGATTATTTTGTTGTTTTGTTTTCTTTAGATGTATTTCATGTAAATTCAAGCCAATGGCTTATTATGTATTTGAGTTAATACTCTCACTTTGTAACCAAGTGTTGACTTGAAAATTTGTAAGCCTATAGGACAGTTATTTTTGTTGTCAACGTGTAATACATTTCGTAAGGATACTCTGATGATTGTAATATAATATCTTTTTCTTGTAACTTGATTGTATGATATTATGGGTTTATTTTGAGGGCGTGACAATCCCTATCATATTATGAAAGCACGCCTTTTTGCAGTTAAGTTCATCCAAAAGTTGGATAAAATTGAATGTTCTACAAAATTTTTGGAAAATTTGATTGTTGTTTTGTTTGCAGATATTTGCTGGGTGCACTTTACACTGTCAGCCCTGTAGACTTCTTTCCAGCAGGTGAATCTAAAATCTGAAACCGTTGTCAGCACAGTTTCTTGTACACGCAGGCCTCATGTACTACCACCATAGACATATCTCCACGTGGTAGAAAAGTGAAAAATGAATTGGAGAGTTTGAACCAATTTTTGAGTTGCGGATTCTTCAACCTGTTCTAGCTTTTGAAAACCAGTGTTCTAAATCTTTGTTTTTCCTATGCGTCATTTATGTTTCCCGTGATGTTGACCGATGGCTTCTGTTTCTGTAGGACGTCTTGATATCATAGAGGTCTTCGATTACTTTGCTATTGCTCTGATCTTTATCCTGTATATTGTTGGCCTCTACTGCCGACGGCAACGCTTGCAACATGTGAGGCAATTGGCTGCTGACCACCCTTGACACAACCTGAATATCAAACACAATCGTGATCTTGTAAATTGATGAGATTTTTTGTTGCAGCCCTTGTAGATTTTCTTTTTCTTCTAAAATTTACCCAAACCAACCCTTAACAACATGTGACTGGCAATTTGGGAGTCATTTGATCATACCCAATTTTTTGAAACAGTTGCTATTCAACATGGATGATGGTGATGTGTATGGATGATCCTGAATTCAATTAAAACATCCTTGAGTAGATTTTTTTTTCCTTTTGTTCTTCAAGGAGGAGAAAAGGATTTCGTACAGAATCTCTTAATGGAACTAAGGTGGCAGGACACTTGAAGCCATATAACTGCAATTTTCAGTGTTATTTTGAAATGAGAGGCAAAAGGAAGAATTTTTGTATAGGAATTCCTTTTGCTTAAATTTTTTTTTTTTTTTGGTTGCTTTGGTCATAAATGGATGTTGTCAAGATCAGAAATCCACAGTGCCTCTTGACAAGAATTTTATGTACTTGCCAAGCTTGGCTCAGGTTTTCATTCTCAATTCTGTCTCTGTATTTGATATGTTTCCTTCATTTTTTCCACGTTTGGTAATCCCTTTTTCCCCTTGGTACTGGCAGTTGACAGAAAATGGGTTTTTTTTTTTTTTTTTTTTTTTTTGGGGATATTATGGACCACTCCAGGAGCATAATAGTTCCTAATGGGTGATTCTTTTCTTGGAGGCAGAATGTGATGAAACAATCTCTTTGTAACTGGAATGATCATGTTCATGCAAATTTGAGGTTGAATTAGGTGTCACATTAGTTTGGTTTGGGGAAGTCGAAAGCAAGGGTACGACCAACCCCACCTCCGGTAACCCCTCTTCCAAGTGAACCCGTTCTTTGCACCCCTTACCTACCGTCCCTTCCTCCGGTAGTCCTCTGTCCTAGGCCACAACCAGCCCCGCCTCCAGCAACCCTCTTCCAAGCGTCTCCACCCTCCTCCACCAGTCCCCTACCTCTAGCAACGCCCCTCCTTAAGGGCGACCACCCAATTCCTCCCCTTCTTTCACCAACCTGTCTCCTCCTAGGCTATGACCAACCCCACCTCCAGACACCCCTCTTCCAAGCGTCTCCACCCTCCTCCGCCACTACCCCCACCTTTGGCAACCCCCATCATCATTCCACACCATCACCCAACTCCTCCCTTTACTTTTCACATTCTGGCAACCTGAGACCCTTCCTCACCCAGATAGTCTCCTCTCTTCTCTCTCTCTCTCTCTCTCTCTCTCTCTCACACACACACACACACAAAAAAAAAATTAAAGGTGAGGCCGCTGAAGGGTGGAGAGGGTTGGGGTGGTGCATGTAGGGTGAATGGAGGGGCGAATGAAGGCAGGAAGCAGCTGCAGGTTAAGGGTGGCGGGACGGGTTGGGACGGGGCGAGTGAGGGTAGGAGGGTTCGTCATCAATAATAAATTAGTATATTCCTGCATCAGATTGAAAAATATTTTCTTCCAGCAGTAGTCTCAATCGAATAATTTCTCAGCTAAAAATTAGGTTGGAACATCGCTTGTAATCTTACTGCGTCACTTATAATCTACGACCAATCACGAATCTAGAGCATTGAAGGGTTCCTCATCATCAACAATAAAATAAAAAAATTATATAAAATATATATATATATATATTTGTCTGGCCGTCTCAAATTGTGTTTCTGACCTTCAATCATCGAACATCCTCATAACACCAAATAGAGCCCCATATGCAACAGAAAGTACAAATGCGTTTATTGCCTTCAATCAGTTTAAAATACTATTTGCATTTTATTTCATACCCAATAGTCTACGCCTATGCAATAACAGTACAGTACAACCACCAATAACAGTTTTTCATATATAGACAGACACATGTGCCTGTTCAATTCATACAGAAGATCATAATCAGTACTAGTTATGTGTTCAAAGAGGATCTAGAAATATTAGGATTATAATCAAATGTGCATACCATCACATCTTCTCAATCAAATGTGCATACCATGGACCATGAACACCACACGACACAGTAGATGCTACCAACAACACTCTTGCAGCTTCCACAACTCTATCGAGTAGCACGGCTGCCCCTACCTGGCGGAGTGCTATTTCTGCCAATTCTCTTCCGTGAGTCCCACTTCCCCCGAGCATGATTCCCCTTGCAGCCAAATAAACTGCACGGGACACCCGAATGAAAATTGGGTCGTCAGCTTGCAAGCTTTTTGTTAACAGCCTTGCCATAACATTCTTCCGTGATTGAAGCTTTGTGGAATCACCAGAGTCATCACCTTCTGCAAATGTTCCAAGTATTTCGATGATTTCTTTGATGCCTGCATCCTCGACAGAGTCCAGATGGTCGGAAAGCTGTTTAACGCAGCTCGACACTATGATTTCCATGTCTGCTGAGTTGCATACCATTTGTTCACTGAGAAGACTTTGCCGCAGAACAAGAATACTGTACAGATTCAACAAATCAGAAAGGATGCATCACTCAGACAATTGTAGAACAACCAGAGTAAAAAATTGGCTCGTTCATGAGACCCATCCACTGGGTAAAAACTAATTCTAGTTCCGCTTGAATCCGAGTCTTATTGGCATGCAAAAGTGCACAAGAAGTAATATCAATAAAATATACTTTGTTACCGAAAGGAACTGAAATTTAAAGAGACAAATGTGTCACCGAGGAGCAAGCATCTCTTTACTCATAAAATAAGACTCATCTACTGATGAGAGGCAGACAGATAACTTACCTTGTGGAAATCACAATGATCTTTTGAAGTTGGGCCTGAACAGCCATTAGCCTAGCAAGGTTGAGCTTCAGAGTTTCAGGCAAAGCTTCTTGTGTAAGACTAGATACCTCATTTGCTAACTTCAACAACCCAAGCCTCACTAACAAATCAACCTTTTCTCCCTTGCATTCTGGATGTTTATTATCCGATCCTATACCAGAAGAACAAGTGGCAGGTGTTAGAAGTGCTTCGCATTTAACAATAATTCGTATTTCATTTTCTAAGGATGTTAGATAACATTTCCCAAGTGAGTTTTAAACATTTTAAACCTGTTGCATTTGAAGCAATATTGCTGGCACCACTCATTCTGAATATGCTTCCACCGGTTCTGAGTGTGGTGGAGGGAAGAAGCCTCTGAGACGAACTTTCTTGGCTCCTTGTTAACTCCGAGAGTGCATTTGTGTGTTCAAGCCATTCCCGATCTATGCTATCCCACACTGATGAAAGCCATCTCATTGTCAGAGGTAGAGCAGTCGAGGCATCAGAGGGAGGTCCATAACGGTTGGCAAAAGCATTTTTCAGGTAATCCAAACCGGCAGGCCCCCTTAGAAGTGGTTCCATAATTTTTATACGTGCTTTGCTGATTTCTTGCTTGAGTGCCTGTCACGGAAAAAAATAAAAGTGTCCAGCTCAGCTCTCTCACATGCACAAGCCACAATATTATGCATAAATACCCATACATGGGTGTGTATATTCATTCCTCTGCATGCATCGCAATGCAACATGCTCGTTAATACTGCTTGTTAGAAGACCATTTAGTTAAAGCAACTCACTATTGTTTTTATTCCCATAACAATAACAATTTTTTCCATGTACAGAAGAAAAAAAAAAACCCAATGTGTTCCCGTCTCGACTGTGACCGGTCCCTGCACATTAGTCCACTCGAAAATTAATTTTCATAAAGTCTTAAACATCATGTCATGCCTCCCTAGAGAAGTTGTTTGTACAAAATAGTAGTAGTAGGCATTAACTTTGGGTATGCGACAGAGTGAAACTAAAGAACAGAAAAAAAAAAAAAAAATCATAGACAAATACCTGTGTTTGCTCCAGGACAAAGCGCAGGCCCTTGATCAATGCAATGACATATGAATGGTTTGACCCATCTCCAGCCTGACATATCTCAACTAGTTCTTTCAGCAATTTCTGGTGAACAACCTTCAGCTCACCCTCATTAGCTGAAGCAGAAAGCTTTTGCAAAGTGTTCAATGCAAATTCCAGAATGTTTCCGAGATAATCCATGTCTAGCTTGCCTGAATTCAGCACCTGAGGAAAGAAGAGGAAAAACAAATTGTATATTTCATGTACACCAAAAACAGAAAAAATAAATCTTGGGAGAAATAATGAAAAAAACAATTGAACATGCGACCTGAGAAAGAACGTCCAGATCAATAGCTTCAAAAATCTCTCCTTTCCAGCTCTGCGGAGCCATATCACAGATTTCATCCCTCACCTCCCTCATTAGTTCAACAACTTGGTCATATCTAGGCTCATCCTGTTTCATAGTATCTGTGATGCCATCCCAGAAAGCCTTCTCCATTGTCTCTTTTACCTTTGACTGCCATGATAAAGAAGTTAGAATCAAGCCAATACGAAAATTTTCCACTTACTCACCAGACTAAAAGCTTTTGTTGGCTTTACAACACCAGTTTCAACAGAGAATTTGTATGCCTATTGGTTCCCAGTTTTACACGGTAAAAATCATTTATTTAAAGATGATTTATTGGAAATTTATAATCCAGACAATGCACTAACCTTCATGCTGCTTTGGTCTTCAGCAGTGACATTCAAACTACCTGCAAATGTCTGATGCTGTTCATGAAGAACTTCATTCACAATCAATTCATTCTCCATCGCTGACTTCTCACCAGAATTTTGGAACTGACTGCCTGAATTGCTGCTAGAAGCAGATGAACCAACTTCTTTGGGAGGAAGAGAGGCATCTCTAAATAAAGAGCGAACCACTGGGCTTGCCCTTTGATTACCCTCAATCATATTACCTCTTTGATCTGAATTAGCAACAGAGGGGTGAGCTGGGGAACTAAATGGGCTTGGAGATAGAACATCCATGATTGGGGACCCTACTGGACTTCCGCTTTCCTTTGCATGAAAGTAATTCATTCTTGTGTCAGAAAGAGCAAGTTCCATACGTTCAATCCCAGCATCACCACTGAGATGATGCACTCTCTCCCTCAAAAGCTTCTGATCTTCTGTGACCTGCATCAACTCAATTGACCATCAGTCTTGCATCTGTTGAGAGAACATAAAAATTTACACTGGTTGGTGCAAATGGTAAAAGCTTAGGCTGCCAAGTGTGAGAATAGAGAAAACATGGGTTCAATTTTGAAAGCCCCTTTGTGCAGATACTGTCTGTAATGTATGTATCCAGTCTACCTCTCCCAGCACCCCAACCTAGCGGCCAACGCAGGGTGATAGACTTAAAATACCATATTCTACAGCCTTCATCAGACAAAAAGTAAATAAAAAATAAATAAAATGCACCTCATTTCAAACTAATACAGATGCAAATTGCATACATTCCATACAGGGGGTTGGGGAAAATTTCATGTGATTAATGATATTGTCCACTTTGGGCTAGACTTCTATGAATTTAAAACATGTTACTAGGAAGGGATGTGAACTCGCTAGTATAGCCTGTGAACTTCCTTACCTAACTGATGTGGGAAAGGATGTTACATTCAGAGACAGATGAAAGAGTGAGAAAATGCTGTGTCATGACTTTTTCTCAACAGCAGCAACTGTGTTACCTCACTTGGCTGGAAGTATAAGAAGGTGCGTAGCTTGTTAGGAAGTAGCTGGCTTAGAGTGCCAACTTGACAGAATAATAATCATAACACAAACTTTCACAAGTACCTAAATTTTTTTTTCAATGCAATTTTATTTATGGGGATGATGCTTTTGCTTGAAAAGATTACTTTAAAGCTTAAAAATAATACCTGTTTCTGAATAGCTTTCATGTCATGAGTAACAGCACCACTGTCTCCATCAGGAGTCATCTTGCAAGTCTGAATCATAGAGAGCTCAAGCTGACAGGCAGCTCTCACCAAATCCTCCTCCAAGGACTCGGCATCATTAACCTTCCACATAACAAAGCTGTTTAAGTACGAGCACCATGCAGCATCAAAAGCTGCAAGCTGAGGCCTGAAGGTCCAACGTCTAGCCAGTGCATGATCAGACTCTTCATTTGAACTCTGTATGGGCCCATCTAGTATTATCTTCATTAACAACTCAAACTCCTGAACAAACTTTTCAGCAGACTTAGCCAGATCAATTTCACGTTCTCCTTGATCACTGAAAACTGCAACCGGATGGCCCAGTATCATGTAAGCGCATAACACAATTCTCACTTGGTACCTAGATAATTTCACAGGACTCCTCTTGGAAGCTTCTCCAATGGACCCTCGTCTCTTGACATCTTTGCCATGGGTAGATTTCGTGGGTGTACCCTTCTTGTTTGGGGAAGCAACTCGATTAAGAAGATGATCAATGTCACCCCAACTGGAAGGATTAGAGGTAACGAAAACAGGCTTTGACAGTTTATATCGGTTCTCAAGACGGTCAAGTAAAGCTTTTACAGTCTGAAGGGTAGCCGGTGATTCAATCAGAAGTGCAAGCTTCTCAAATGGCATCGATTTCACACATTTGTCATTAATGTTTAAAGCATTATAAGCTTTTGCCAAATCCAAGGTAGTTTTGTTCAGCTTAAGGAACTGTCTCCAGCACCTACAAAGCACAATAATCATCAAGTAAAACTGTGTCCAATTAAAGTCCCAAAAAACTGAAAATCTTTAACTATGTATCAAATTAAAATCCAAAAGAAATGGATGTGAGAATATTTCGAAAATCAAATTGGCCTATGAAATTGATTTCAACCATTATCCGTTTTAAGCCTGCTGCTGTGTTGTTATTTGTCATTCACACTGAAATACAAACACTATTTAAGTCCAATAACAATAAAAATAAAAATAAAAATAAATAAACGGCTCCCTCAAGATAATAACAACATACAAGATAGGTCTAGGGACCTAGAGACAACTTTAGGGCCCGTTTGGAAAAACTTATTTGTAGCTTATTTAGCTTAAATTTTGAAATTCTGCATTTAAGTAGTTGTACTTAGAAAAGTCGGGTTGTTTGACAAAATTTTTCAAGTTTTCGGCTTATTTGCATTTTCAGCTCAAAACCAATGTCCAACTCGATCCAGGTAGGAATGCCTTTAGAAAAGTAAACCATGACAAATAATAAAAAGACGCCAGAAAATATTCAAAAATATTAACTTTCCCATATTGAAAGTTGATGATGTTTTACAGAACATGTACCTTGCTAACTTTTGGGGGAGGAGTTCGGCCTCCTTGTGCATCTTATTCCAATTAACACGATCAGAGTTGTGCAGCCTTCCTCTCTGACTTAAATATTCTGCTCTCTTTCTCTTTGCCTATTTAATATCAAATTCCACAAGTAAGAAATATGGCAAGCACCATAAAATGTGAACACCAAGTAACAACATTGTGATAAATTCGGTGAAAGATGTCAATTGATGTGAGATTGTGTGCATACCCTTTGCAGTCTGTCTTCCAACTTGTCTTTCATTTTTCTCCTTTCAATCTCTCGCTGGTGAGATACAGCCTTGGCAACCTTTCGTGCTTGCAGCATCCTAGCACGTGCCCTCTTCTTCTCCAGCAATCCTAATCGCTTCTTCTCAGCAGCTGCACGCTTTTGCAAAATTGCAGCACGCACACACTCCTTATACTTGTTTTCTCGAGCCATCCTTCGTAATAATGATTGAGATGCCCTCTCCTTTATCGTGGCCCTCTGTTGCCTGCGAGCCTTGAGAATAAGCATTCTATTTTCCTCTGCCTGCTAAACCTGTGACTCCACTTTTGTACCTAGCTCTGCACATTCCTTCTTAAAACGCATTTCTAACCCAGTTTTAGCAGCTTGACGCAACTCATCCAACTTAGAAAGGCGCATCTGAGACTTTGCCAGAATGCTCAACCTGTTTGTCCAACCAAACATGGTATAAGTTCCTGCATGTCAGTATGCATACCTACGAAAATATGATTCATTCTGATCTTCAATCAAAGTTGTGCTTGCAGAGAGAATAAAGCTCTTCAATTAGCTTTTGCATTCTCAAGGATAAGAAGGCAACCATGCAGAGCTTTTAGAAACCTTTCATGGAATGAAATGCTTGATGAGCAGACAAAAGGCCAAGAGGAACTCAATCACCAGATAAAATACTATGCAATAATGCAGCAACTTCAAAGAATCCTAGCTTACAAGTTAGGGTACAAAGAAGGGAGAGAAGCAGCACAATCACAACTATATCGAGCAGTACCATCTCCTATGGCTGCACACTAGAGAAATCAATGTTATGCCTACTGTCTTATTTCCATAGCCAACCCAATGGAGGGTGTGAGCTGAAAAGTTGAGCTAGTTTATACGAAATATTTCTTCAAGAGTGGGTAGTTAAGAGTTAAGAAAGCCTAAAGACAGACATCTCGTGAAATATTGGAAAAGAAAGTCAAAAGACGTGCCATGATGCCAGACAGACACCATTAAGGAAAGGAACTAAAAAGCATAAACTATAGTGAGAATAGATGAATCAAGAAAATCATTTTCATTTTTGCAAATTTACATGAACCCCTTAAACTCTTATCATCTAGTCATAAAAAATTTGAAAATTAATTGTTGACACCCAATACACAAGATGAGATTTTGAATGTTATATTATTTTGGCAATTTAAAATGCAATGGTTAAGGCACAAAAGCAGTTGTCATGGTCATGCGAGTAGTATCACCCAACAAAAGCAACTGGGGGGGGTCTTCATAACCAAATTTAAAAAGTAAAAAGTAAAATCAAGTTCATGGAGTAAATTGTTGTGCAACAAACTAACATATATTTTCTAAATAACTTTACAATGAAAAAGAGTAGACCTGGCAGGAAAGGAGTAAGAAATGGCATGTTGTAGGACATAACATAGAAAAAGACAGTCGAAAAAATGCCTATGGTAGTAGAGGGGAAAAATTAAGCAACAAACCCAACAAAAAATTGTTGACACTCGTCACAAAAAAAGTAATTTCACATATAGAATGGTTTAATTGAAAGAATGAATGTTTGGGATAGGGCCCACACCATGATAATGGTTGTCACATGGTTAAACTTTTGAAACCAAAACAATAAACAGCTCAGTTTTTCATTAGAAAAGAAAAAAAGGCTAAATTATTTGTTTCAAAACAATGCTTATCAAGATACTAACCAAGACCTTATATTACATTACAACAATAAATAATTAGACAATTAGTTAATTTTTAGCATAACAGATTAACAGAATTTGGCTGATAATTACTCAAGCTTATACTTAAGGACCAAATGATGCAATAAAGATTACCTTTTTTGCTCAGCAGCTTGGAGCTTTGCCTCAAGGCGCTGAGCAAGGTCGTCTTCATGAGAAGAAGAGTGTCTTGGCTTTGGACGAGCCTTATTTGACAAGTCCTCATAGAATTTCTGCATTCAATAAGAGAAATAAAAAAAGAAAGGGTCACACATCCCCTCCCCCTCAAATGCATGAAAAGAAAATAAAAGGGTTATGTCGAAGTCCAATAGGTTTATGGCATTAAGAGGCAAAACTAAATGACAACACAAGAATCACGAAGAACAAATAAATACAATTTGTTGGATTGATTGCCTAATGCATAATGGAACCAGACTAACAAATATGGATGAATTGAATACAGGGGGAAAATTTTGAAACCCAATTTACAAACAAATATGACACCACACCAACTAGACCAAAATTACCAAAAATTATACATGACCAGATGAACTACAACCACAGAAACAGTAAAGCAATGACAAATAAATTTAATATAATTATAGTTTTCATAAAATGAATGTAAGATTACAATCCTTGGCCACTGAACAACAAGAGACTCCCTTGTAAATCTCCAAACAACACCCACTCCCCTAGAAACAAATAAATTTAAAAAAAATGGAATAAATTTTTGGGACAAAATTTTCAACAAAAAGTTGTTGTGTGCTATGTGGGTGTTTGGGAAGTAGATTTTTTTGTAAGTTTTTTTAGTTGTAGGATATTATTGGTGAAAAAAAATTTTGTGTTTGGGAAGATAGTTGTGTTTTTTGTGGTTGGATGTAATGTTTGTGAGAGAAAAAGTGAAATGATTATAGGGTTTGATGTGATATTTTATTTGGATTTGTTTTTTTGGTTTTGTAAAACATTTGTGTTGTAGTGAAAAAATACAAAAAAAAAACCTAAAAACTAACCCAAACACCGCTATATGTGTCTTCTGAAGAGAGAGAGAGAGAGAGAGAGAGAGAGAGAGGATTCCATGTGAAAAAAGAGCACCAAAGGAAAAGTGCAGAACAAAATTCAAACAAAAGAACCACCTAATCCAAAAGAAACCCTTCAGCACAAAGGAAAAATTTATTCAAATAGATTAGTAGTAATTTAAAAGGAATAGTGACAAACAATTTGTTTGGTTCATGGGAAATTGACAAAGAAAATAAATATAAGAAATTCTGATGTGATCATCACAAGTTAGTACTCCCAAGTCTCAAGTAAACTGAACCTAACGCAACCAAGCTGCTCAGTTTAGTTGAGTTCCATTATTTCCTTATTAGAAACCAAATCAGCCAAAAAATTCAAAAATTAAAAATAAAAGACTCCATTTTTTATAATCCTGGCTAGAAATTTTCAAAATTCAAGCCAGAAAAAATAATAAATAAATAAAAATAAAAGAAGAAGAAAAATTCACAGTTTCCATAATAGTACACTCAACTAAACTGAACCAAACACAGCTAGGTTGCTTAGTTTAGTTGAGTTCAATTATTCTTGAATTAGAAACCAATTCCACCAAGAATCAAGATAAACAACAAGAAACAAGACTCAAATTTAAAGTTTTATTCCACGCCCTAGAATCACAAACACACAGAGGACAAAATTCACCAATTATTAGATGAAATTAACAAATAAATATGAAGAAACTGAGAGAGAAAAAAGACCTGTCTACGAAGATCAGCGTCTCTAAGCTTGGCTTCGATTTCTTCGACGGTGGACGGAGAAGACGTCTTGCTCTCTGATAGCCTCCTCTGGAGCCTCGGGGGAATCCGCGGCGGCGACGCCGTATCGTCGGTCGCCGGAAACTCCATTGCGACTCCGGCCACCCTACCGGCCTCCGACGAATCCACTCCCACAGTCATCATCGAATTGAAAACTCCTTCCGATGACAATGGAGAAAACGGATGCCAAATTGCTAATTTTGATCGATATATAGAATCTGTACGTATATGCGCAATTTAGAGAGAGAGAGAGGAGTGTTTGAAAATTGAAATGTGCTTGGCGTAATGCGTGATTTTACGGGGAAATTATTACAATTCGACCAGATTTTAGATAAGAGTTAAAAGTTAATTTTTTGATATTTTTTAAAATAATATGAAAAATATATGATTTAAAATTAATTAAAAATTAAAAAGTGATTTTTAACTCATTCCTTGAAAGAACTTATAATCACAAAATAATTATACTATAAATAAAAAATAAAATTGATACAAAGGGGCGTTTGATGGAGATCATACAAATAATTTATAATGTATTTTAGGAAAAGATTATGATACATCTGTTTTAAAAATATGTGTATTATATGCATTTTATACTTATAAAAAAATTTATATAACTTTATATTTTTTGAATTATAAATAAATAAGAAAAAGTCATGATCAAATATAAAAAAATCATAATTAAATATCTTAAAATAATATCATTATAAAAAAAAAGGTGATTATAATTAAAAAAGAAAATAATGTAATTAAAAGTGTCTATGGTATGAGGTGTGTATAGAATTCTCCAGTATTTTAATTTGAGAGTTTTTGTTAGACTATTTGATGCAATTTACACTTATAGTTTATTACGTAAAAATAGTTTAAACAAACTAAAAAAATGATTTCCCAGAAATTGAGAAATAGATACTTTTAAATTCTATTATCTAATTATCAATTCTTCACTTTAAATAATTTCCACTGAAAAGTTCATTGAAATGCAAATTTTCTTAATTTTACTTGTACAGAAAGATAAGGTAGTCACAAAAAATAATTGTACTACAAGTACAGAAAAAAAAAACATATAAAAGGATTATACAAACAATTTATACTTTATTTTAATTTAGAGGTTTGTATTAGACTATTTAATATAATTTTTATTTATAATTTATTAGGTAAAAATAAGTAATTTTTATTTATAATAACTTATAATTTAACACACAATTAAACACAACCTTAATTTTTACTTTTGGATTACCAAATTTTAATCTAAAATAATTTCCACCGGAAATCTTTAAAAAAAAATAAAATTCCACCGAAAGGTTAAATGCAATTTTTCCTAATTTTACTTATACAGAAAGTTAGCACGTCGCTCTCACGCAACGGCTCTCTCTTCTTGGGGTGACAAAAAAAATGGAGCTGAAATTCCTTTAATACCCCTACATCTTTTTGGGATAAGTTTGTACTTTTCTTTTCTTTTTCTTTTTCTTTTTCTTTTTTCTTTTTGGGAGGATAAACAATATTTGAATTTTGAGGAATTATTATATTAAAAAAAAGAGAGAGAGATAGTTGTAATAAAATGATATAAATTAAATAATTATAAAAAGATAAAAGTAGATTACTTGGGATGTTATAAATAAGTATACTTTTTAACTTTTTATGAAATATGAATTAGGTTTGAAGTAATATGATAGAGAGGTGATGTGAGTTAAATAAGATAATGTAACTTAAATAAAATAATAATTTTTTGACTTTTTAGCTTTTTTAGGAGATGCCAAACTATCGAATGTATAAATTATTTATAGGGCAAATTATACTAATAATCCATATAGTTTGGGAGTTATGTCACTTAAGTTCCTGAATTTTTAATTGTGACACATTTGACCCTGAATTTTGAATCTTGTTCCAAATAAAGACAATTGAACATATAATTGTTTAATTTCAAGGGCAAAATCGTCAATTTGATAACATATAAACTAATTTGACAAAAATAAATGTAAAAAAAATATTTTAAAATATTTTCAAAATTATTTCTACCAACCAAAAATAAAATTATATAAAATTGATAAAAATTAATAAAAATTACATGATTAGTTTTTAAAAATTAATTTTACATAATTATCATTTAAATACATAATAAAAATTAATTTGGTAAAAAAAATAAATATTTAAAAGATTTATCAATTTTATATAATTTTATCTTTAGTAGCTAGAAATAATTTTCAAAAATTTAAAAATAATTTTTTGACATTTATTTTTGTCAAATTAATTTATATTTTATCAAATTGATGATTTTGCCCTTGAAAAATCCAATAGTATCTACAATTGTCCTTGTTTGGAACAAGATTCAAAATTCATGGTCAAATGTGTCACAATTGAAAAGTCTGAGATTAAAATGATACAAGTCCCAAACTATAGGGACTATTAGTGTAGTTCATACTTGTTTATATTTTCATAATATTATAATTATTTTGTGTTAATGTCATTTTTTTTTTCTTATTTTCCAAAAAACAAATGGACAAATAAATTGGACAATATCAATTCGAAATAGATGCAGTAATGGCGTGAGACCTAGTGGATTCTATAGCGTGGGTTATACATCTATATGAATATTATTTAAAATATTTGATAATTTATTTAAGATCTCTAATATTTTTATTAATTTAAATTAGGGTGCCATTACTAATACTTAATATTAAAATTTTTTTAAATACGATAGACACACCACTTTATTATCAAATTAATCTTAACCTTTTCAAACCATAACCTTAATCCAGCATCCCCATTACTTCCAAACCACCATCCCCAAAAATCACTTATTATTATTACTATTATTGTGTTTGTACATGGATATTTATTAAAGTTAGGGTTAGGATTAGAGTTATACAATTGTGCTGCTAATGACAATTATAACTCATTGTATCATGATTAAGTACATACTATTTTATCACATGATAAAAATTAAATTATATAATAATTGTGTTCTAAAAAAGAAAACATTTGCACTATTGACATAAGATTCTCAACATAAAATATTTTAACGCTATAGTTTGTTAAAATAAAATATTAGCACCATCGGAAATTAAAATAACATGATTCATTGATTTTTTTAATTAAAAACAAAATAGTGATCTATTGATGGTCTTTGTTATGTTTTTACTTAAATCAAAACAAAGATGAGTAAATTGTAAAAAGTATTTAAGTCTCGTTTGGGAATATGTTATTTTAGTAATTTTTTAATTTTTTGGTTAAAATATAAAATAAAAATATTAGTATGTTTGGAATGACATTTTAATTTTTTATAAAAAGATGTGCAAAAAAATAGAAAGAAAATAAAATATTGCTTTTTTGTATAAATTATGGACTTTTTAATTTTTTTTAATAACTTCTTGATTTTTAAACTAAAACAGATAGTTCCCAAAGAAGACCTTAAATAAAACAAATACACGTCATTAATCGGAGCCCCAAGCAATCATACACGCGGGATTATATAAAACACGTGTACTCGCTTTACACAAGATCCACCTCAACAGTGCTACGTCTCTCAAAAATACAACTCCACTTACTTGTGATTGATCAAAAATATATATATATATATATGATTAGTCCACATCATTTTAAAGCCGACAAGAGTCCTCACTTTTTAATTTTTTTTAATAACTTATTGATTTTTAAACTAAAACAGATAGTTCCCAAAGAAGACCTTAAATAAAACAAATACACGTCATTAATCGGAGCCCCAAGCAATCATACACGCGGGATTATATAAAACACGTGTACTCGCTTTACACAAGGTCCACCTCAACAATGCTATGTCTCTCAAAAATATAACTCCACCTACTTGTGATTGATCCAAAAATATATATATATAATTAGTCGACATCACAAGAGTCCTCAACTTTGGACCCCAAACATTTTTGAGGTTCATCAACCCCTCGTCATTCCAGATTTTGTGCTGACTTGTCACAAAACTAGTCGCTACCTCACGTTAACTATTGTGGCCTACAATGTATTAATTTTTTTCTTAATTATTGTGGGCTACAATATAGTTTGTTAGTTTTTTTATTTTATTTCATTTTAGGGTAAATTACAAACACATCTCCTGAGATTTATTTAAATTACAAATTACTCCCTGTAGTTCTAAAAATTACATTATACTCCCTAAGATTTCTAATTTCATAACAAATAGATCCTTTTATTAATAAATCATCAAGTTAATTAATAGTTTTTAATAACGTTAAAATTTTATTTCAATTAATAATTCAGATAATTTTATTATTATATAGATGAACAATTAGAAATTTCAAATTTTCAATTAATTTTGTTAAATAAAAAATTCTAACAATAAGATATTTGTAATTTTTCAAATCACAGAAGACAATTTGTATTTTAAGCAAATTTCAGATGGTGTATTTGTAATTTACCCTTTGTTTATCGATAGGCATAATTTGTTAGTTATAGAATAAAAAACGATGTTGCCACTTAGGTCTCGTCTGGAAACATATTATTTTAGTAATTTTTTTAATTTTTTACAAAAATATATAAAGAAAAGTAAACAAAGTGATATGACAACTTATAGTGACTTTTAACTAAAATATACATTTGACAAACGATGCCTTATTTAACATATAAATATATATTTTGTAAGAAATTGTTTTGGAAAAACCAGATTTTCCCTCAACTTTGGTCCAATTTTTAGGTAGGACCCATGCGCCAAAATTGGCGAGTCTAAGTGGAAATGCGTTTTATGCCGCGTTGTGATTCACGTAGTATATTTGGTTGATCAAAATCATTATCGAGTGAATGAAAAATTGAAGCCAAAGTGAGCTCCATGAAAATGGTGTTTTGGTAAAATTTCCATAAAGGTTTGAGTTAAAGCTTGTCCCACATTGGTTTTGTGGGCAAACTTTAAGTGGATGTATAAGGTTTGGGTTGGGAACTTGGGGTAGGCCCCAAAGGAACACTCAAGTTTTGTAGAGGGGAATGTTATGGGTAAAGTGGGCCAGACCTATTGGACCCAAAATAAACACATGTGCGCCGTCCGTCTGTCCGATCAGACTGGGCACGAGTGCATGGTGTGAGGTTGGGTTGGGCTTGCTCGGTCCAATGCCAATCTTTTTTGGGCCAAAAACTTTATGAATTTTATTTTTTCTAAAAAAAGATCTTATCTTTTTTAGAATTTAATTCGAAATTAATTCTGAAATCTGTCCAGTTTATTCCTCCACCCAAACAGGTCCATATCTGTCCAATTAAACCGAACAGATTTAGTATATGTTCAAAATTTAAACA